GCGGGCGGGCGGGGTCCCCGGCGGGGTCGCCCTCGCACCGCGAGCAGCGCGGCGAGCCCGCCAGTCTATTTGAGGGCCGCTTATCTCGTTGGCGTGCGGGTGGCATTGCCGGTCGCACTATCTAATTGGAGTTATTGTTGTAGTGGCGGTGTCGCGCGAAGCAAAGGCGAATCCATCGCGACGTGACGCGAAACCCTTTTTGTTTTTGTTTTTTTGCAGCCGGCGCTCTTCTGCTTGGTGTTGCCAGCCGCGCCGCCGCGCGGTCGCGTTACCGGGCAGAGAGCGGGGCAGGGCAGAGCCGGGCAGAGCGCAGCGAGAGCGCACTCGACGTTGGCGGCAGAAATAAAACGTTTCCTGGGAGCTGTTTGTTGTTGCGACGCAGCAAAGTGCGGCGGCGGCGGCGGCGCCGTGGGATGAGCTGGCCATGTTGTCCGGTACCGTTCGTCCGCGACGGCCCCGCGGGGGAAGGGCGGGGCGGGGCAGGGCGGGCGTGCTGGGCTGAGGAAATTGTTTGCATCGACCGCAAGCGCGTTGGAGCGAACAGCGCGCCAACGGCGGCGGCGGAGACGCAGCGACGCCGCCCGCCAGAGCAAGAGGTGACTGCCCCCGCCCCCGCCGTGGTCCTGTCCTGCCACGTCCTGCCCTGCCCGGCCCATGACCGCCGAAGTGCCCTTTTGCGGCGTGGGTCAGCAGACGTTACGAGCCATGCTGCGAGGGGGAAACGGCAAACCACTCTGAGATTTCGTGTGCAACGGATTACCTCTGGTTACTATCTGGAGTAGGATTAAGGTATTAGGGGTCGTCTAGAAAGTACGACCGTTTTTCTCATATTCATTTGGCAAAATACAGGAGCTCGGCGCCTGCGAGACTCGAGGTAGGCCAACCCGCACTACACCCATGTACGGTAGGCAATTTGTTGCCTACCTACCAGGCGCTTTGAGTGCTTGCTGAAGCTGAAATTGGCAGCGTCGTAACGGCGAATTTCGGACGTACTTTCTGGGTGATTCGATTTCTGGATTACCGGCGAATAACTTCCGAATCACCCCCGATTACCCGAAACAGGCCGTGAAAAGTCCTTTCCGCCTCTCCCTGCTGTCGCGTAGGACCATCGGTTGAGTCGCCCTCGTGCTCAGCCTGGGGGCGGCGCGGCGGCGCGGAAGGCGCGTTGGCAGTGTCAATGGGGTGGTGGGCTCTGTGCCGCCCCCGAGCCTCGGTCGGGCGCCGCCCCCAGACACACCTGTTGCACGGTGGGGAGGAGGCGACCTCACCCACTAGACCTACGGCCAGCTCGTGCTGCTGCTGCCGGCTGCAGCCCGCCCCCGGGCCCGCCGCCACCGGGCCC